TCTCTAATGATTAGTGATGTTGAGCATCCTTTCATGTGTTTGTTGGCAGTCTGTATATCTTCTTTGGAGAAATATCTATTTAGGTCTTTAGGTTGTTTGTTTTTTTGTTATTGAGCTGCATGAGCTGCTTGTAAATTTTGGAGATTAATCCTTTGCCAGTTGCTTCATTTGCAAATATTTTCTCCCATTCTGAGGGTTGTCTTTTGGTCTTGTTTATGGTTTCCTTTGCTGTGCAAAAGCTTTGAAGTTTCATTAGGTCCCATTTGTTTATTTTTGTTTTTATTTCCATTTCTCTAGGAGTTGGGTCAGAAAGGATCTTGCTGTGATTTATGTCATAGAGTGTTCTGCCTATGTTTTCCTCTAAGAGTTTGATAGTTTCTGGCCTTACATTTAGGTCTTTAATCCATTTTGAGCTTATTTTTGTGTATGGTGTTAGGGAGTGATCTAATCTCATGCTTTTACATGTATCTGTCCAGTTTTCCCAGCACCACTTATTGAAGAGGCTGTCCTTTCTCCACTGTACATTCCTGCCACCTTTATCAAAGATAAGGTGTCCATATGTGCGTGGGTTTATCTCTGGGCTTTCTATCCTGTTCCATTGATCTATCTTTCTGTTTTTGTGCCAGTACCATACTGTTTTGATTACTGTAGCTTTGTAGTATAGTCCGAAGTCAGGGAGCCTGATTCCTCCCGCTCCATTTTTTGTTCTCAAGATTGCTTTGGCTACTCAGGGTCTTTTGTGTTTCCATACAAATTGGGAAATTTTTTGTTCTAGTTCTGTGAAAAATGCCAGTGGTAGTTTGATAGGGATTGCATTGAATCTATTCCTTCACTTTTTATAACCAATTTGTAAGAAAGTTCTGTTGACTATTTCCATACAGATCCTGAATCAATGCACTTTGATTTCTCTCCACTAATACCCATTCAAGATACTATCATCTCTTTTTTTAACCGAGATATATTGGCTAAAAGTTCGTTCAGGTCCCCATTTCTTTTAATTGCATGGATGTACCACATTGTGCTTATCCATTCATCAGTTGATGGACATTTGGGTTGTCTCATCTTTTTGGCTACAATGAATAATTCTGTTATCACCATTTGTGTATAAAATTTTGTATGGATGTATATTTTCAGTTTTCTTGGATATATATTTAGGTGTAGAATTGCTGGTTCAAAAGATCGCTGTAGCGGAACCATGGTCAGGGAGCTAAGATCCCACATGCCTCTCAGCTAAAAAAACAAAACATAAAACAGAAGCGATATTGTAACAAATTCAATAAAGACTTTTAAAAAATGGTACACATTAAAAAAAAGTCTTTAAAGAATAAATAAGTAAATAAATAAAGTGACTGCACCATTTTATTATAACCACCAGCGATGTGTGAGGGTTCCTATTTCTCCACCTCGTCACCAACACTTACTATTGTCTCCTTGTTTGATTATAGCCATCCTAGTGGGTATGAAGTGATAATGTTATAATGGTTTTGATTTGCATTTCCCTAATGACTAAACGATGTTGAGCATCTTTTCATGTGCTTGTTGGCCATTTATATATCTTTTTTGGAGAACTGTCTATTCACATCCTTTGCCTATTTTTTAAATAGGTTGTTTGTCTTTTTGTTGATGAGTTGTAATAGCTCTTTATATATTCTGGATAAGACATCATTATCTCTTACCTTACTGCAGCAGATCCCAAGTATTCTTTTTGCTTATGAAATTTCATGTCCCATCCTGCCAAATCCATTCTGAATACAGCAGCTAGAGTGATATTTTATTTTTTCAAATATTTATTTATTTATTTGCATGGGGTCTTAGTTGCACCATGCGAGATCTTTAGTTGCACCATGCAGACTTCTTAGTTGTGGCATGTGGACTCTTAATTGCAGCATGCATGCAGGATCTAGTTCCCCGACCAGGGATCGAACCCGGGCATTGGGTGCATAGAGTCTTACACACTGGACCACCAGGGAAGTTCCTCCACACTCTTCTTACTCAGTACACTCCTGCAACACTGGCCTCTTTTCTTGCTCATGTCTGGATTTATACCTTCTTCTGGGCCTTTGCACTCATTATTCTTTAGTCTGGAAAGCTGTTACCCTGTATTTCACTTGTCTGGCTTGTTGCTCAGATCTCAACTGAAGTTTCATCTTCCTGATTAAACTAGAAGTGATCCGCCCTCATTCTCTATTATATCACCCCACTTAGATTCTCTGTGTGGCATTTATCGTTCTTGGTATGATTTTCTTTACCTGTTTATCTGTCTCCTTCCAGTAGAATGTTGAGCTCCACGGGAGCAGGGACCTTGTCTGTCTTATAACCTTGGATCTTTAGCATCTGGAATAGTGCCTGGTTCATAGTAAGTCTGGTTCAGAATAAGTTCATCATTTGCTAAATGTTGAACATTAGCAAGTTTTTCCTCTGGTAATTAGATAACCATTCTTATATATAAAGCTTCTTGCAGATTATTTCCTTATGACATCTGGAAGTATCATTATTGGGTCAAAAAGTATAAACATTTTATTTTAGTATAGTTTTTAAACATTTTAGTAGCTTTTGATACTGTTGACTGCCTTTCCACAATTCTTTCCATGTGTATTGCCACTGGCGCAACTTGAAAATGTTTGTTTTACCACAGCCTTAAATAGTTATACACCTTATTGCTTTCTTCTTTGATAACTCTAGCAGCAGTTAAAAAATATGAATGTTCTAACGTGTCAGAATATATTTGATTTGAAGGATGACCTGGATGAAAATTAAAGTTGGTTAATTGTACTCATAAACATTCATATTTCACATACTTGATTGTACTGTTATTAAAACCTAGCAGATTTTCAACAGACTTTGAACTCTGGTCCTAACCAACAAAATGCAGATGTTTCTGTTTCTTTTGTGAGTTCAAGCACCAGTTCCTAGGAAAGCAGCCTTGTCCAGTATATATGCCACAAATTCAGGGCTAAGCTATGATTAACTTGTTCCAGAGAAATGATCTTTACTTTTTGCAGTATTATTTGTATATCTGCATAAATTAAAATATAAACCTATGTTCATATTCAGAAGTGTAAACAAATTGCCATTTCCTAGATCTTGCATTTTTGTCTCTTGGAAATTTTTACCATTAAAAAGAAGCAGCTACTGTTCATTGTCATGTTTTCCAATAGCTTATGTGTGTTTTAGAGAGTGTTGCCTTCAGGTAGCGATTCTTAGCCATTGCTCCACAGAAGCATACACGATTGACAACTTTTCCATTACTAACCTGTTCCCATAAGAGCAGCCAGACAGGATTTGGGTCTAGCTCTTAACCTATACATTTTTCTTTTTCTAGAAATCCTAACAGAATGCAGATGAATGAGAGTAATGTTATTGAAATAACATAGCACAGGCTCTAACTTTGGTACTTATTAGTAACAAATCCCCTTTAATATATCTTGTGGCCTCAAAGATATAGATTAATGGTGAAGTCGAAAGCTAGTATATATGTAGGGAAAGATAGAAGGTATTGAGGCCAGAAGGGAGAAGAGAGGAATAGGACATTTGTGCTAAGTATGACCAGGAAAAACAGTAAATATTTGAGTCTTGATTTTTTTTTTGAACTTCTAAAATATTTTTGTCTAGTGAGTACTGGTTTTTAATGGTTTTATTTTAATAAATGAGTGTGACACATTATATATTATATTTGACAGAAAATAAGATATAAGTTGGCTCAGGAACATCTTCAGACTTAGTGAAAGAAGAAAACTTTCTTAATTGCAGCCTAATAATTGTTTACTTTGGAGTCACTGTTAAAGTACATTTGAAGGCTGTAAATTTATTTTCTGATGATATTTTGTTAAAGAGAATTAATGAAATGTCTTATGTGAAACAAAATGTTCACTTCTGTATAAAATGTGTGTTCTTTTTTTTTTTAAACATCTTTATTGGAATATAATTGCTTTACAATGTTGTGTTAGTTTCTGCTGTATAACAAAGTGAATCAGCTATATGTATAATGTATCCCCACATCCCCTCCCTCTTGCGTCTCCCTCCCACCCTCCCTATCCCTTAGGTTGTCACAAAGCACCAAGCTGATCTCCCTGTGCGATGCAGCTGCTTCCCACTAGCTAGCTGTTTTACACTTGGTAGTGTATATATGTCAGTGCTACTCTCTCACTTTGTCCCAGCTTACCCTTCCCCCTCCCCGTGTCTTCAAGTCCATTCTCTGTGTCTGCGTCTTTATTCCTGTCCTGCCCTTAAGTTCATCAGAACCACTTTTTCTTTTTTTTTTTTTTTTAGATTCCTCATATATGTGTTAGCATACGGTATTTGTTTTTCTCTTTCTGACTTACTTCACTCTGTATGACAGACTCTGTGTCCATCCACCTCACTACAAATAACTCAATTTCTTTTTATGGCTGAGTAATATTACACTGTATATATGTGCCACATCTTCTTTATCCATTCATCTGTCGATGGACACTTAGGTTGCTTCCATGTCCTGGCTATTGTAAATAGTGCTGCAATGAACATTGTGGTACATGACTCTTTTTGAATTATGGTTTTCTCAGGGTGGGATTGCTGGGTCATATGGTAATTCTATTTTTAGTTTTTTAAGGAACCTCCATACTGTTCTCCATAGTGGCTGTATCAATTTACATTCCCACCAACACTGCAAGAGGGTTCCCTTTTCTCCACACCCTCTCCAGCATTTACTGTTTGTAGATTTTTTGATGATGGACATTCTGACCTATGTGAGGTGATACCTCATTGTAGTTTTGATTTGTATTTCTCTAATGATTAGTGATGTTGAACATCCTTTCATGTGTTTATTGGCAATCTATATATCTTCTTTGGAGAAATGTCTATTTAGATCTTCTGCCCATTTTTGGATTGGGTTGTTTGTTTTTTTGATATTGAGCTGCATGAGCTGCTTATATATTTTGGAGATTAATCCTTTGTCAGTTGCTTCATTTGCAAATATTTTCTCCCGTGTTCTATGCTTCTAAATGCCTTTATTTTCCTTACAGGGTTTCAAACAAAGTCATAAAGAAAGAAGGCACTCACATTTCAATTAAGGAGTAAGTCTACCATCATTATAAAAGAGAATGTTACTTTTTTATAAATTTTGTAGTTTGTAGAAAATATATGTTTAAAAATTAAAATATTGAAAAGTAGAAAAGTTAATGTAAAACAATATTAAAGACATTTTGATGCAAAAACTATTTGATAAAAGATTGATCTAAATCCCCTCTAGAATTCTTATGATGTCAAAGTATCATCTCAGCAAATACTTGTTGGTTGGTTGTATTGAAAGGAAAACATACCTTTATAATAAAGAGATCCTTAGAATCAGAGATGAAATTTTGCGTCACTGTAATCAGACAGTCAGACTTGCTTTTTCATTTGAGATGCAGTATGAAATACACTGTATTACCTATGAAGTGTTATGGTCAAAAAAAAAAAGTGGAATTTAAACAAACCTTTAGGATCTACTTTCCCATTTATCAGAAATACTGGGGATAGAGCAACAAGTTAAATGACACCACAAAAGAAATGATCAGACAGGTCCAGAACGTGGCATGTTGTAGAAGATAACTGGCCTCCTTTCTTCAAAAATTCAGTGTCATGAAAGAAAAAATGACATGGAGTAGGTAACTATTCCAGATTAAAAGTGACTTGAGATATAACAGCCAAATACAATGTGGCATCCTTCATTATTCATTAGACCCTGGTTTTGAAAAGCTATTTGTAAGAGACTTGGGGGTTGAGGAAATTTGAATATAGACTGGATTTTAAATGATATTAGATAACTATTGCTAATTTTATGAGCTGTGATAAGGGTGTTGTAGTTTCTGGAAGAAGGTCTTTAAATTTGCATACTGAAGTATTTAGAAGTGAAGTGTTACAGTGTTTGTAATACATTTCTAAATGATTTAGCAAAATGTATATATGTGTGTGCATGAAGCATATATGGCTGTTATTGAATCTCAGTGGTGTTCATATGGATGTTCATTGTACTATTTTTTTCTATTTTCTGTGTGTTTGAAAAGTACATAAGAAAAGTGTTCAGTATTTTTAACTAAATTAGTAAAATCTATGTGTCTATTGTATTCCCTTTTTACATATTATTTTACACTTTTGGTCCATATTCATCCATATTTTGATGTTTGTCATCAGTATTTTGTGCATGTGTGTGTGTATATATATCCCCACTTAATATCACATTTTTAATGTTTTTACGTATTCTTTCTATCAGCTTGTTTGCCTGTATGTTATGCCACTCTTCCTTTAGTTCAGTAGCTTTTGGCATTCTCAATAACATTAGTAACTACCTTCTTATATGTAGTACTCGGTTCTATTCTGTCACAGCGTTAGGGTAACTTTCTGTGTTGTGACTATTTAATAAAAGGTTGTGGACATTATGATTCTTAGTGGATGTTTCCATGTTGCCTTGAAAAGCAAATTTCGAAAAACATCTTTTCAAAATCTATGCATTCCTGGGAGGGACATTTTTTAAATTATATAAATCCTCACATTTAAAAGTATAGTTACCTGTATTTCATTCTTCGATTAAAGTCAGTTTTATTCAATTGAAGTTCTTCAGCTAGGTTATTCAGCTAAATCTAAAGAGATGAATAGAAAAACTAGGCAGGGGATGAAGTGGGCTGAAGTATTCCAGGCAGAGAATGCACAAGCTAGAAGCATTAGGGCAGTGTGTTTCAAGGCCTAAGGCTGGCCCAAATGTCATACCACTGTTATCCGTTCTCCATCCATGTAAGTTCCCCTCTTTGCATCTGTTCTCTGCTTATTTCTATTACATAGCTTTTCACAGTATAATATCTTTATTGTTTATATATCTGTCTTTCCTCTGTCATTAGAGGCAAGGCACTACATCTCATTCTTCATCATGTCTACAGTATCTGGCATGGTTTTTTGAAGTCTAGAATGGGCTTAGAGCACAGATTGGAGGGAATGTCAAAGAAGAGAGAAAATGAAGTCAAAACAGCTTGTTTTCTGGCTTTCACTATAGTAATTGTCCTTGTGGTTATGAAGAATCCTAGATGGAAAATTCCATGGTCTGTACCTATATTCAGAAGATAGGCAAATAGAAGGTGAGATGCCATAATTGAAGAGTACCTTCATTAAGGGATCAGCCAGAGATTACTTTATCTGAGTCATGTTGTAAGTTTAGCTTTTCTGTATGGTTGCCATTAACAGAAATAAACTACAGGGTTAATGGTTATGAACGTAAGTTATGTGTTGTTTGAAGCTCTTGGTGAATGGAAAACTATGAATTCAATTCAGAAATAAAATTCTGAAAGTTTAACCAGAGCAACTCCTGCTTCTGCAGAAATCCATGTTTATATACAGCAATCAGTAGAAGACATTCAGTATTCAGGTATTTCACAAAATACTTGGTGTTTTATCATTTTTGTGTATGAATTGTGGCCTTGCAAGAGGATTCAAGAACATTTTTACATCGCTTTCATTTTTTTTTCCAAATACTTTTTTTGAGGTTAATTTATATACAGTAAAATGCACAGATTGGGACTTCCCTGGTGGCGCAGTGGTTAAGAATCTGCCAGCCAATGCAGGGGACACGGGTTCAAGCCCTGGTTGGGGAAGATACCACATACTGCGGAGCAGCTAAGCCCGTGCGCCACAACTACTGAGCCTGCGCTCTAGAGCCCTCAAGCCACAACTACTGAAGCCCGCGCTCCTAGAGCCCGTGCTCCACAAGAGAAGACACCGCAATGAGAAGCCCGCGCACCGCAACGAAGAGTAGCCCCAGCTCACCTCAACTAGAGAAAAGCCTGCACGCAGCAATGAAGACCCAATGCAGCCAAAAATTAAATAAATAAATAAACTTTTTTAAAAAATGCACAGATTTAAAGTGAAGAGTTTGATCAGTTTTGAGAAGGTATACCATTGTTACTACATCAAGATAAAAGAACATTTCCCTCAGTCCAGAAGTTCCTTTGTACCCCTTTCTAGTCATTCACCACACTTACCTATCCTGGCAATCACCATTCTGACCTCTATGAACAAAGATTAGTTTTACTTAGTTTAGAACTGCAATCATACAGTATGTTCTCTTTTGCACAGGATTGTTTTAAATTATTATTACTTGTGGGTTCAGCTATTGTCCTGAGATTATATATGTAACATATTTTGAAGACACCAAGTAATATAGTTGGAGAAGCTTTTGGAGGAACTAATTTCTTTTCTTTCTTTTTTTTTTATTTTTTTTAATGGAATTTACAGTGTTTTAGGTGTACAGCAAAGTGATTTCAGTTATACATATACATGTATGTATACCCATTCTTTTTCAGATTCTTTTCCATTATATATTATTATAAGATATTGAATATAGTTCCCAGTGCTATACAGTAGGTCCTTGTTGTTTATCTATTTTATACGTAATAGTGTGTATCTGTTAATCCCAAATTCCAAACTTATCCCTGTTTCCCCTTTCCTTTTTGGTAACTATGTTTGTTTTCTATGTGAGTCTATTTCTATTTTGTAAATAAGTTCATTTTTTTAGATTCCACATCTAAGTGATATCATATGATGTTTGTCTTTCTCTGTCTGACTTACTTCACTCAGTATGATAATCTCTAGGTCCACCCATGTTGCTGCAAATGGCATTACTTCATTCTTTTTAATGCCTGAGTAATATTCCATTGTATATGTATATACCACATCTTCTCTATCCATTCATCTTTCAATAGACATTTAGGTTGCTTCCATGTTATGGCTATTGTAAATAGTGCTGCTATGAACATTGGGGTGCATGTATCTTTTCAAATTAGAGTTTTCTCTAGATATATGCCCAGGAGTGGGATTACTGGATCATATGGTAGCTCTATTTTTAGTTTTTTAAGGAACCTCCATACTGTAGGAGAAAGTAATTTTCTGAGCTTCGAAGTTCTGATCCTTTCATTACTAGTTATTGTGACACATAAATTGACCTTTTATATTTTAAAATGGCATATAATTTAGGGTTGAGCTGCATTCTACTTTAAATAAAACTTGGTTTCTAGGCAGAAGAAGAAAGATGTGAAGCAGTATACCTGAATATTAATGAGTCTTTGTGTTTAGATAAATACTTCTGGTTAATCTTATTTTTTATATATATATATATATGTATATATATATATATAAAAGATAGCATAGCTACCTTGTTTGATACCAGTCAGTTGTTAGTTAGGGGAGCAGGGATTTGATTTGAAATTTTTTGCTTACAAACTTCATGTTTTTTCCAGTTAAGCTGCTGATCTGGAAAGTTGTACATTGTTTGGTAAAATTTGGACTCTGTAGTTTCCCTACTCTTGCCATTACCTGTAGGTAGAATTTTGACTTCTAGGATATGGTTCATTTTACTTTTACTGTAAAATTTATAATAAACATTTAAATTAAATTTGTAAAAAAAAAAATCTTACTTTATAGAACTTGGTTTCAGTAGACTCTTAGCTCTGTGTTAGTTGGGTTTTTATTGTAAAGGAAACTAGAAACTGTCACATCATACTTTTCTTCCCTTACAAGTAATAATAGCTATATTTTCTGAATGATTACTATGTGTTGCTAGGCACTGTTATTTCATTGAATCTTTTTTTTAAAAATAAATTTATTTATTTATTTATGGCTGTGTTGGGTCTTTGTTGCTGCTCACGGACTTTCTCTAGTTGCAGAGAGCAGGGGCCACTCTTCATTGCAGTGCGTGGGCTTCTCATTTCAGTGGCTTCTCTTGTTGCAGAGCACGGACTGTAGGTGTGCAGGCTTCAGTAGTTGTGGCACGTGGACTCAGTCACCCCGCGGCATGTGGGATCTTCCCGGGTCAGGGATCAAGCCCATGTCCCCTGAATTGACAGGCGGATTCTTAACCACTGCACCACCAGGGCAGTCCCTCATTGAATCTTAATAGCACTCTCAAGTTAGTTACTATTATTATTCCCAAATGACTTGCTTTGGACCACGTAGTAAGTGGTAGAACTCTGTGTGACTTCAGAACTCTCTCCAGCTCTCAGCCCCCCAGCAACTGCTTCTGCCCGGCTCTGTGGAGTCTTGTCCTACACGTGCATAATTTAGGATTTGGGCAAGGACCTAAGTGGGAATCCTACACAGATTTTTGGGGCTCCTTCTCTTTAAGACCCTCCTCTCTAGACCTTACCTCCACAAATCCCATCTGCCTTATTCCAGAGCCTAGACTCCAATCCCTGTTTCTTCCCCCCACCCAGGAAGAACAGTACTCTCTACTCAGGCTCCACCTTTCATGCTGCAGTTTGGAAATTGTGTCCAGCCAAAGAGGGTGAATGCAAAGCTCACATGTTTCCCTTTCTCAAGAATCTCACCCTGTGCTCTCTGTTGCCCAATGCCTGGAAACAGTTGCATCATAAATTGTGCCCAGTTTTATAACTTATCACAGGAAAACAAGTACACTACCAACTATTCCTCCTATTTTTAAACAGACATTTTATCATTTTTTTGAATACTTGGATGGATGGCACAATTCATTGCATCACCTTTTCATTTTGGAACAATTAATTTTCAGTTGTTGGATGATTTCTGAAAGATTAATCTGTTGTGATGGTTAAAACAAAATGTGCTAAACAATGATATTACACCCTATCTCTCAAGTACATAAGGTTCATATGTCAGATTTGGGGTTATTGGTGTGTGTGTGTGTGTGTGTGTGTGTGTGTATATATACACTTCTCTATGACAGTAGTAGGTCTATTTTGGGCTTTTTTTGTTAAACTTTCTTGGAGAACGCTTCATATCAGTATGTAAAACTGTCTTGTTTTAAACATATGCAAGATATTCTTATATACAGATGTGTACCATACTTATTTGATTGAACTCTTACGGATGGAAGTTTAGGTTGCTTCCAGTTGTTTGCTATTTAATACTATAGTCAGTGTTCTTTTACATAATTCTTTTTGTAGATGTCTGAATACATCCTTAAGATTATCTAAATAGATTGCATTAGAATCAAGAATTAGATTATAGAATTAGAACTCCTGGATTGAAGAAGATACACATTTATAATTTTAAAAGATTTTTGCCAAATTGCTCTCAGTAGAGATTGTATTAATTTCCATTTCCACCAACATTGTATGAGAGTCTCTGTTTCCCACAGTCTGGCCAATAATTTTTTTTTTTTTTTTTTTTTGCGGTACGCGGGCCTCTCACTGTTGTGGCCTCTCCCGTTGCGGAGCACAGGCTCCGGACGCGCAGGCTCAGCGGCCATGGCTCACGGGCCTAGCCGCTCTGCGGCATGTGGGATCTTCCCGGACCGGGGCACGAACCTGTGTCCCCTGCATCGGCAGGCGGTCTCTCAACCACTGCACCACCAGGGAAGCCCTAGCCAATAATTTATCAGACCTTTGGATATTTCTCAGTCTAGTAGTTGGAAATGATT